TTTACCCATTCTCAATTTCTAAGCAAACTAGCTATGCTAGAGACTTGTGCTGCCTCATCACACCCACCCATAAGCTGCTACAACTATTTTTTCCCGGATCACTAATGATCTCCTGATTAAAGTGTCTAACAGGCACTTTTAAATTCTCAATGCTTGACCTAACTCTTATCTGTTCCTACTATCTGGTTAATGGTTTAATTCCCATTTGATCAGTCAGCATTTTTGATTGTGAGAGGACCCTTCTTATTCTCTTTATCTTTAGTCCTTCTCCTCAAGCCTCTTTTCTCCTTCATACCAATATGTTCATATTATTTTACAATTCCAAATCCTTTAGTTTCTCTGGAAGGAAATTTTATGTATAACATGGGCAATTTGGTGGTAGCAAGTATCTTTTTAATTGCCTATAGCCTGTGACTCAGATTTTCACTTCTTGGTACCTGCCCAATGTACAGGATCAAAGATATGAACACACCACCATCCAAAAGACAAAGACATGCACTCCCTGAAACAGTACATTTTTCTGTATGTAAATTCTCCATGTAAATATATAGATCTCTGGAGTATTTCTCACTAAAACCTATAAATGGTTGTACATCTCGGGGGAGGGATGGTTGGAAAAGATAGTGGGTAGAGGAGGAAAAAGGGGACCAGGATTGGGAGTATGGTCAAGGGGGAGGTTCATCTAATCTGTAATAATTTTTATAAGGAGAATGTATACATTCATGATAATAAAACTTGCTTCAGTGTCCATGGTTATTCTAGACAGATTTAAGCCCTCATTTCTGTCTCCTTGGCATTTTGTAACATATCCAATAAAGCATTCGACACTTTTATTTAGTCTCTGCCTTTCTTTTTCTTTCATAAGTATCTTGAGGATGAGAGATTGTTTTTTCACCCCAATAGTTGCTACTTAATAAATTCATGTTGAATCTCTGATCACATGTCTGAATTAGGGTAATAACGCTTCATGTAGTTGCTATGTTACTCTTTCCCTCTTTTGGACATCTTTAATATTTATTTCTAGGGGCAGCAGCCCCTATTTGAGCATATTTAGATATGTAACTTTTTCTTCTTTTGAGTTATATTCTTGTAACACAGCCTCAAGATTAGAAATACCAAGTCAAATATTAGGAATCTGTGTTGGTTTGTGGTATTTGTGATCTCAAATCACAGAACTGTTTTGTACCGTTTGTGATCTCAGCTTAGAGTCAGACTTAAATACTAGGCCCGCAGAGGTCATCTGATCCCAGTACTTCTTATACTTTTTCAAATATCCTATATATCACACCATTTTTTTTTTTAAGAGAGAAAAGTTGACCTGCTGTGTTTTAAGCAGAGATGCAGAGGGTTCAGGGCCTCTGCTTGCTCTGCCTTACCCTCAGATCCTTGCCACTGAGAGGCCTTTCATGGAATCCTATGGCTCCATTGAATAGTTTGAAAATCCAAGATCTAAGGACACACCTGTTTACAAATGAGAATACAGACATTAGGGAAATAAACTGATTTATCAAGTCATCCAGCCAATCCATGCAGTGACAAGGCTAGGATTTAGTGTTCTTTGAGAGGTAATACATCATAGCAAGTATGAGGACATGCTTCAGGTTCAGAGAGATGGCCTAGTCGTGTGACTTGGGAAAGTTACTAAACTTTCCTGAGCCTCTGTTTTCCCGTGTATAAAATGTAAATAAAATATATCTCACAAATTATCTGAGACAATACACACATGCTACAGTTTTCTTTTGGTGCATTTGTTAATCCCGTAGCTCCTAGAGCATTGTAGATATGCTTTACAAATATCTGTTAAAGAAATAAATGAAATTTTCATTTGAGGAAAGAGTTATTTAATGAACTAAATTATGCTTGATTTCTCTTATTCAAAATATCGAGACATGAATATTTCTATACAGCTTGATTGCTTGATTTGGGATGTATAAACTCACCAAGACCCGCATATAAAAATCAGCTTCTAGCCACCAATAAATCTGAGAAATATTTCTCTTCTCACCTTGCCTTTCATGAATAGATTACCTGCTATGCTGTGGCCTGCACAGAAACTGCAAGAATTGCACAACTTGTGGCTCGTCAGAGGAGTTCTAAAAGGAAAACCGGGAGGCAAGTTAATTGTCAGATGAGAGTAAAGAAAACCATGCCATTTTTTCTAGAAGGTAAAGTCTTTTCAGTTAAGCCTTTCTGTGACTCTCTCGTCACATGGAATTATGGAAATAATACTTGCATTCATGATAAGCACCTATGTTAACATTCATCTGTCAAAAGAAAACTCCTGAAGCTGCTAGTATTTTGACTTGAAATTAAGTGCACAGGAAGACTTTAAGTGAAGTAATTACACAGTGAGAAAAAACTAAGAGTAGATTTTAATTAAACTTATGACAAAGTGTGGTTTTATTCTTTTAGGTTATTTGGAAGGCCTCATCCAAGGTGTTGGATGAACCAAGAACCTATGGTTTAATGTCTTAAAAAAAAAGTCTTTTATTATAAATCCCCTTCTCAGAAAACATGAATTATATATTATATACAAATGAGTTATAGGCACCTCAGCCTGTGTTTAGTAAATACTTATCTCAAGGAGTATATAGTATATCATCAGTGCTAAAATTAAATTCTGAAGAAATGGTTCAATAATAATATAAAAGAGTTGGTGCCTAAATACCCCAATGGCCCTTTTAAACAAGGGTGCAGTCATTGTGAGATTGGCAAAAGAGGGCTTCATGGTGAAGAGGAGACCTGGGCCCAGGCCCCAAGTGATAGGAAGAATTCAGATTAACTGGAGAAAGGTAGAAGGGATGACATATGGCTGCACATGCTGCATTTGTAAGAACAGGAGGGGGTTACCTTTGAAGTGTCAGTTGGTGAATAGAGGAAAGTAACTGGCTAGTCTAGCAGGTAAAGCCACATTTTGAAGAACCTCATGTGCTAAAAGTACTAATCTACTGTACTGCAACTGACCTAGCCTCCAGTGGGGCAACCTCTCTGAGTTCTTACAAATTGTCCTGAGAACAGAGACCCACAGAAAACATCTGATCAGGGCATGGCACACTGAAACTAGCATTTCAGGAAGCTAACTGATTCTATTATCTATGCCTAATTCCACAGGAAAACCAAAAGCAACCCTCAGACAACCAGGATTTTCTTCGGATTTTTCTCTCAGCAAAAAACCTAACCCAACACTGTTAAGAGACAAAGGAAACTCTCTTGGAGTTAAGTATGATGCTGAAATGCCACCATACATATTACATACAACTGTTGGGAGTGAAATATTCAAAGATGTTCCAGTGCAGAGGCATATGGCCATGCCTACCAGCAACAGGTATTTGGAATTTATTTCACTAAAAGGAGAAGTTTGGTGAACTGAGGATAATCAATATTAAAAATGTATATTCAGAGTCATAAGGAAATACTTTTGGTTTTATCTAGTGTCAGTTCACATGTTGTAGAGAAATGCATCATTACTAGAAAATCTCTTTTACTGGCTATGTGAATGTCATTCTCTGAATAGCTCCATTATATATTTTCTCTTCACTGTTGATTATCTCTCCTTGTAAAATTCATTTTAGTAGCTCTTCTAAGTTCTGAAACAACTAATTCAGCTACAACTTTTCTGAAAACCCTTCTTATAATCAATTTTGTAAGTTTTTTATAAACACAATCTTTTTTTTCTTTTTTTTCCCCCAAAGATTTATTTATTTATGCGTATGAGAGCTGGGGCACAGGCCAGAGATGCTGGGAGTGAGAGGATTCACCAGAGACAGAGTGGGGAACAGAACAGGCAAACTAACTGAAAAACATTGCTGAGGGGAGCAGCAGGCGAGACATGAGAGGTCTGCTTCGCCATGTGGGTTGCTCCCTGGCGGGCCAGGGATCAAACTCATGCTGTTGAACTTGTGCTAAAATATGTACTGTTGGCCCTTGGCAGAATATTTGCCAACTCCTGATATAGATGAATCCACATCATATTCTTCCATTCTATCTGCTGTTACAATAAAGACTCTGGAGTACATCGTGTCATCCCATAGATCAGTGTTCAAAGCTGCCATTTTGTGTGAAATACAATTTTCCTCATACTAGAATATTTAGAAAGAATTTATTTTTTAAAGTTGGGGAAAGAGTACTAATATCTTACATGTTGATATTTTTATATAACCCTAAAATATGATTATTAAAGGTATGTTTTTAATGTTGTTTATGGTTAGTTATTATACATTTGATAAGATCCACAAAATGCCTAATTAAAACCTAAACTTTGGGGCCTCCCCTGGTGGCGCAGCAGTTGAGCGCTGTGCTGAGAAGCTGCCTGCAGCCTCTGCAGCACTGGTTCAATCCCCGGCCGCCGGCGAGGGCCCCACATGGCACGCAGACCTCTCCTGCCGTACCCGCTGCTCCCCTCAGCAGTGTATTTCATCAGTCTGCCTGTTCTGTTCCCCGCTCTGGCTCTGGTGAATTCTCTCACCCTCCCGCACTTCTGACTGTACCCAGTGCTTGTACAAATAAATAAATAAATCTTAATAAATAAACTTTGACCTGATGCACTAGTTGGGTCCAGTGTGTGACTAAAGTACCATTGTTTTCCAACTCTGGTTGTGTGCCTAAACTTTGACTTGAATTTGTGAAACAGCAAAATCAGTCAGTCTGAATTGTGGGCTCATGGGAGTATTCTGTACACCGCATTCTTCTCCCACTCTCCTGATGGCACCAGGTAGACCAGATAAGTGCCCTCCATCCCTGTAGACTTCACCAGCAGGACTTAAGTAGCAGCCCTGCAGAGATGGGACCTGTAATAATCAGAAGAGTTTTAAAAAGTGACCTTAAACATATTGCTAAAACTTACAGAGTAATTACTGTCAACATTGACCAGTTTGAAAAATGGGACAAGCAAAAAGTGGTACAGGAGAGAATTTGTGATGATAAACTACTCTTGATGAAAAACATTGAGGCTCACACATCTGTATTATTTATCTTATGTGGGGCAAATGATTTCATGTTTGAAGAGAGGAACACTGTTTCCATGATGCTCTTTATATAGTGAAGTGTATTTTGGTTCTGAACAGGGGCAGGTGAGGGGTCTGCAGGCGCAGCCCTTTCCATGTACCTAGAAAGCCACGTGATCAGCCCAGGGTCTCAGGAACAGCATGCTATTGCAGATTTTGCAAGATCTTGTCTTGTTATTCCTAATATATAGGCAATTAAGGCTGCTCAGACTCCACAGATCTGGTTGCAGAGCTGAGAGCTTTTCATAATGAGGATCAAGTTAAACCAGAACAAAAAATCTAAAATGGATTGGTCTTGATTTGGTCAGTGGTAGACTTTAAGACAATAAGCAAAGCAGGAGTATTTGAACCAACCATAGTTAAAGTTGACGGTTTGATTTTGTAATAGATGCTGCAGTTACCGTTCTTCAAATTGATGATCTTATTAAATTACACCCAGAAAGAAAACTTGACAAGCATAGCAGTTACAAAAATGTTCTTCATTAAGGAGTTGTTAATGACTGATGTGATCTCTTTTTTAACTTATAACAATGTCAGGTGCAAGTGTTTGGTATCTCAAATATTACACTTTAATACACAACAAGCTAGGGGGAAAGGCATTTCTCCAAAGTAGGCTAGAGTAAATGAATGTAAATTTATTGTTGATTTCTGAGTCCCTAGTTAAAACATGTGGTAAATAGTTGTAAAAAACATTTTCTAAAATGTTTACTGCTTTGTTTTAATTATAGAAATATGTGTACAGTATGAGAAAGTAAAAGGAAGAAAAAATTGTCCCTAATTCATATATGATGTAAACATTTGACAATACATATTTTTTAAACACAAATTATATTATATATTGCTATTTTATAACCTGTTTTAAAAGGAAGTATATTGTTAGTATTTTCCATATCATTAAGTATACTTCTACATTATCACTTTAAAGTCAGGGTAATTAATATCCAATCACCTATAGTTGAATATAAATGATTTTCACTAAAGTAAACATTCTACAATGAACATATTTGTAGAACAATCCTTGCATATATTCACAGCTAGTTCCTTAGAATAAAATGGTAGAAATGGAAGGTCTAAGGGTTAGAGGTTGTATGCATTAGTGCTAATTACTAATTTGTAATCTAAACAGATTATATCAATTTATATTCTTCCAGAATATAAATAGGAAGTGATCATTTATATGTGTCCCTGCAAAATGGAGTCATTGAATCATTCAATCCTCCTATTCATTCTTACCACACTCATTCTCATTCACATGTATCAATCACTGACACAGGCACTGGCACACAGGTAATTAAGACACTTGGAGTCTAGTAAAGGAAACTCTGTGTGTTTTATTTCTTAGTCCACACATTTGGAAAAATCTTCCAACATAGATCTGATATAATTCATATAAAAATTAGGTTGTTGAAACTAAAGACATTCTTATCACACAGGAGAATTTCGAGGGTTTTAGGAACTCTGTGCCAGTAACCAAGGATAACGAGTAATTTTTTTCATTATACCACATTCTCCTAGAACCTCCAAAAAAGAACACAACCCCACCAACACACCTTGAGGTTAATCCAATGAGACCCATCTTGAACTTCTGATATACAGACCAATTTGTGTGATTTTAAGCCACTGAATTTGTGGTAACTTGTTAGAGCAGCTATGGAAGACTAATATGCTATTTTATAAATATTTGCAACATGATCATGCTCATTTAGTGAGGCAGAATTTTAGATGTTAAAAATATGGAAACAGCAAAAAAAAAAAAATTAGGTTGTTGAGGGCCTGAGGTAGAGAATCTATGTTTCTTCTTTTCTAAGTAGTTATTGAGCAATGCCTCTCTGGTATGAAATGCCCATAATATACCAAGATATGATTTAAATTGAATGTGTCTAAATTCTTCTTACATGTCCAACTATTTTAAATGTTGTGACTTTATGACACATTTCAATATCTGGTGATACAAGGCCTTCATTTTTAGTTATTTTCCCAAATATTCTTTATTTTCAGCAGTTGATTCTTTATTCTGTATTGTCCCTTAAAGCTAATTAACTGGAAATCTGATTTCCAAGTTCTTTTAAAGTTCTAATGGAAATTTAGCTATTTTTTTTCTGGGCAAATATGAAATATGAAAGCTAATGCAAGGTGTCCTTTCATTTTTTGCTCATTTTGAAGTATTTTAATGATTTGTTTTGCAGTTCAGTCCCACAGAGACTTTAAGCATACAGTGTTTAAAACTTGGAATAGACTTTACTATCTGAATTTTTATTTACTTTTTTTTAATACCTTAGGTTTAGTCCAAAGGCATCTCTTCCACCATCCTTTCAGATGCATCCTTCAAGAACCTGTGCTAAGGAAATGAGTGGTATGTTTTCTAAACATTACCTTCATCATGCATTTTGACTTCTGTAGCCATAGATTCCCCCAAGAAGAGTATCTGGTATTGGCTTTTGACATTTGCACTCACCTCCTAACAGAATAAATCTCTCCTCCCCTCTTTCCTAATTCATTTATTATGAACTGATATTGAGAGACAATAGGATATCATCATTATTCCTCATATCTGACCTACGCTGTTTTATTTCCATGTGTCATCTACAGGGAAACTTTCTGTCCCATGTCACCCACTGTCTCACTCAGATTATAAGATAAATTATATAAATATGGGACTTGAACTCATATGAAAGTTTCAAATACGCCACCATTTTAAAGCAGGAACCCTGAAATGTGTGCTGTGAGCACTAAGTCTAAATATGAATATAATTGATTCCTCAGGTTAAAAAGCCCAAAGGACTGGTAAGAAAAAAGTAGGAAACATAATAAAATAAAAAAATCTGAGTACTAGAAATGTACTCACTTGCTGTTTTGTTTCCTCCAACCCATATGTAAATCTTCTTCTAGACCCATCCGAGGGACAGAGTGTTTTCAGAATTATTGCTTATGTTACATGAAATTTAAATGTGTTTTTAAATGATTTGTTGCTTTAGGTGTGATTCTTACTAAGTTAAGATCTTTTTTTTTACCCAAAGCACATCTCCAGTGTTTTTTATGGAAATTAATTTAACAATATGATCTTTGGTTGTATTAATTACTTTTAGATGTGCTTTTTCTGAAATATAAATAGTAAAGTTGTATACCCTTGCAGAGGTAAACACTTTTAAATTAGAATAAGCTTTTTTCTGCATAACCAAGAAGATTGTTTCAGGAGGATTATGATTCACTTGGCAGAGCTGATAGTCACACATGTATGCGCAGTCTCTCCTGCCTGCCCGGCAGCCTAACTTCCTTGACTTGTTTAACAAAAGTTACGGAAGCTTAGGTGACTCCAGTGTCCTCACAGAGCAGGTGCATTTATTTTGAAAGACTAGAACTTTTGTCAGCTGCTGACACCTTCTCTTTAAGGGAGGGTCTAGCTAGTTTTGAGAAAGGACCATGGCAAGGATCCTTTTAGAAGAACTTAAATAAATTAGCTATGCCTTTCTTGAGGAGTACATATGGACATTTCTGTGATTTTCTGTTTGCTGAGCCAGACTAAGTCTCAACAAGGCCAGGTTTCATGCCCTGTGGTGGGTAAAGCAGAATCGGTATTCACCTCTCCCAAAGAGAAAGCTCCCACTTTGGCTTCCTGGCATCCTTCTAGCCAGCTTCTCCACACCAGCCTGGGTATCTCTACCAACCAACTCAAAAATAAATAAATAAATAAATAAAAAATAAAAATGGTTGTATCCCAGGAGAAATACTGTGTGGTTAAAATATGAACATATTCTGCTTATAGATGGTAATTTTTAATATGCCCTGATCTGTATTTCAGTGACTTTTAAAAGAGGTTTGGAATGAATTTCATAATTCTTAATATACCAGAACTGCCAGCTATAGTGGACGCATCAAATTTCTTTATTGCCTTAAGATGTTAACTTGGGCATTTCAAGCTTTAAATAAAAAAAATGAAGAGAGCTACCCGGAGTATTCACTTACGAAAGACACATGATTTATATTAGGAAAATAAAAACAAAATATTACTAGTTATCTTCGGGTACCAAACTTTTTATTGGTGGTGATAAATTGAGGCTAGGATGATTTTTGCAGGTGGATCATTTTTTTTTTATTTCAGTGTATTGCTGTATTACTGGTTCTCATTAATAAAGGAGAATACTTATCATATCTTTGAAACCTGGATGATTTTTTTATTGTCTATAAAATGTTCTTCAGTCTTTCTATTAATTGTTATCCTAAGCTTTGTGAAGTATAACTTTAAATTCAGAATTGCATAAATGCCATTATTGTTTAAAATTTAAACCTTATTAGTTGCTGTTAGAGTTGGTTAAATAATAAATTTCGTTCTTTGCAAATCAAGACCATCCTGATGTTTAAATTAAAGTATGAAGTATGCTTGCAAAACAAAGGAGGCAGGTTATCTCTGTAGGTGACTGTTGACCTTGTTTATTATTTCAAGTGAAACTTAAAATACAGTGGAAATACTGCATTTTGCCAAACCCAGCTCCCTGGAAGTCCCTTCACCCCACAAACTAGAAGTATAGCAAAGCCTAAAGTCACAATTATGTTGACAGTATTGCTTCCCTTTGTTCAAATATGGTATTTTTTTTTTGGTGTATAGAAACTTTAAATTCCTTAAATTACCCTAAAATTAGGTAATGAGGATAATCTAAAATGTTAAGCATTTTGGTTAATTCTACTATTTTTTTAATTTAAAGACAATTTAAATCAGTCTGTTGAAAAACTGAATGCCACGCCTCCTGCCTCTTATGCTTACAAAATGGATGAGGTTCAAAACCGCATAAAGGAAATACTACAGAAGCATAACAATGGCATTTGGATATCTAAGCTTCCACATTTTTACAAAGATTTATATAAAGAAGAACTTAATCAAGGAATTTTACAGCAATTTGAGCATTGGCCTCATATTTGCACGGTACGTCTCTCTCATTCTTCCCTCCTGATGTTTCCTTCTTGCATGACTCTCGGATTTTGAGTTCTTAGTCATGTCACCTTTTATCAAGGGAGCAGAAAGCACTTTACATATTGCCGCCTTGGTCTTTACCTTGAAGATGAACACAAATCAGTTATAGGTGAAGCACATCAAGGTTGAGGATAGTGTATGTGTGTTGTATTTGCTGTTCTTGCTTCAAATTATTTTTTTTAAGATTTATTTATTTTATACAAGAGCTGGGGTACAGGCCAGAGGCATAGGAGGGTGAGAGGATTCACCAAAGACAAAGCAGGGAGCAGAACAGACAGATTGACTGAAATACACTGCTGAGGGGAGCAGTGGGTGCGACGGGAGTGGTCTGCATGCCATGGGGGATTCTCGCCGCTAGCCGGGATCTAACTGGCACTGCAGCGGCTCCAGACAGCCTCAACCTGATGCGCCACCGGGGAGGCCCCAAATTATTTTTAAGAAGCATATAATATATGATAACCTGTATGCCATTTTGTACTGAACTGCTGCCATTAGATCATATAGCTTTCAGCTTACTGGTAGTAAAATTTTTTATTAGCCTCAAATTTTACATACTTATACAAAAATGAAAAATGATATAAAAATATATAAAATAAAAATTAATTAATTTAAAAAATTTGCTTGGTTAAACTATACCTACCACTCCTTGGTAAATTCTCACTTTGTGTGAGAACCCATGGAAAGGAGTTGCTGGAACCCATTCCCTATGGATTCCATGGCATGATAGGTATGGAACGAAATACCTCTGGACTATAAAGAAAAATCTCTGGAATATGCCCCATATACTTGCACTTTCTTAACTGAAGCACCTAAAAATTGATAACCATTTCTGAATGTCTTGGGCATACATAGCATCACGAACTTCAGTACACTGTCACAGAGAACATGGCCCCATAAGTGGCAGGGAACATTGGTTTGGATGAGTTTTGCTGGTCCCAATGTATCAATAGCATACATATGCCATACCCTGTACAGGCTTCAGATTCAAAATTATCCGTTTGTTTTCATTGTGGCACAATGGTAACATCAAGGACCATTTCTTCCTCTCTTTCTCCATTGTCTAACTTTTCCTGCACTTCTTAGATCTAGCCCAAAAGGACACAGCTCTTAAGACTACAAAACTGATCTCTGAAGGAGGTAGACAACCAGTGTTTCTGTGAGCTGGCTAACCATAATAAGTAAATTAAGGTTGTTTCCTTTGTCATTGAGTACTTGGGGTCTTTATTCACCTGTGAAGTTTAGTTTTTAATTGGTTTGTTTTTGAGTTCAAAGCCATTGCTAAAGTTTGGAATGCTGGAAAGCAGGTCCTCCAGGTACATGGATTTTACTATATGAGGTTTCTAATGGGTGTTGACCATTTAAAATGAAATTTTGAACTTAAAGCTTCAACACAAAGAACCAGTGTAAACAAAACTGTGGCTGGATGAGATCCATACAACTGCTTTGAAGGCTTTTTGATTTAATTTGACAATACCAATTCTGTTATAGAATCTCAAAGAAAATTCTAATTCCATAAGAAACAATAAGTTTCTCTTAGCAGCCCTTGCTGCATATTTAGAAGGTAAGCCTTCATATTCTCAAAGAAGTTTGGCTTCAAGAATTTTAAGTTTACAGCACAGGTAAAATTAGAAAGGAAGAAATAACGACCTCTCAGAATTAAGAAGAAGAAAGTTTCTAGGCAAGTAAGATCAATACTTTTACTTGTATAACCAAACAGGGTTTCTGAAGAAACTCTTGATTTAAATCCTTGGGTTGATCATCTACTAAACCTATTCTACCTCCTGCAAACTTATAGAAACTCAGAGGGGTGTCAGCAGGAGCTTATTCAAGTTGTGACTCCAAATGTGTCTTTTTCTAAGTAATGATAAGCTGAAGGATATTGCAGGAAGAAGAGAGGTCTTCTGTTTTGATTAAATATTCCCTGTTTAAACTGGCTTTCTTCCCAGTGGTTTATTTCACAGCTTGATTCTGCCTTGTATTCAGTCAGTTATGAATTTGACAATGAGTTAAGTAGTTTGCAGAACAAAACCATTCACGATTTCCTGGGGTTGTTGGAGGCCAGATAGCTCACAAAGAATATTAACACTATTTTATTTTCCTCTTTATTTCTGAAATGTGGCTTATGATTTTATTTGCAGGTGGAGGTATTTTAAGTCTTCGTAATTGAGGAAAGCACCACACTCATATTTAGAATGCATTCATGTCTTTTCAGGGTGTTTATAGCCATGGAAATATCTATCATGTACTTTATTTAAAAATTTCAGGTAGAAAAACCTTGTGCTGGTGGTCAAGATTTACTTCTTTATCCAGCTAAGAGAAAGCAGCCTTTGAGAAGTGAACAGGACGCTGGAAAAGTGCCTCCATCCCAACTACCTCCTCCAAAACAAACACCACCATTGAAAGGGTGCCCAGCAACTATGCCAGCAGACTTCAAAGAGAAAGTTGCGGATCTGCTGGTGAAGTACTCAAGTGGTCTTTGGGCCAGTGCCCTCCCCAAAGCATTTGAGGACACATACAAAGTGAAAATTCCCGAGAATGCCTTAAAAAATCTTGCCTTCCTTTCTGATGTATGCACCATAGACTACATTTCTGGAAATCCCCAGAAGGCCATTCTCTATGCTAAACTTCCATTGCCCGCTGACAAAATCCTGAAGGATGCAGGGCATGCACATGGTGATTATGATATCAAGACTATGATTGAACAAGAATATCTTCAAATAGAGGAAAACATGGCCAAAAGTGATAATGCCCCTTTGGAGAATGTAACAGTCCCTCCGTTAGTCATTCCAACTGAGGCATCCCCATCTGTGTTGGTGGTTGAACTGAGCAACACAAATGAAGTGGTTGTCAGGTAAGTTTTAATTTCTAATTCTTTAAGAGGCCAGGGTACTGTTGTTAACTTGGTTATTCTTCACATGATGCTGGGGGTTGAGAAAGAATAAAATATTCTTAGCTCTGTAGAACTATAATGAAGTATAATATGTTCATAATATTTAGATATTCAAAATATACAACTATTTCTGTGAGATAAGATTACTAGCAGTTTTAAAAACTGATGATGTATGGTCTGAATGTGAAAAAAAAAAGTAAAAAACAAATAGTAACTATGTCTGTCAAAAGTAATACCTCGTCAATAGAAAAGGCAAATCAGCCCATCCAGCAGGGAAGACTACTTAATCGGGGGCAAAGTAGTATCATTGCCTAGGAGGAAGAGTTGTTGACTAATATGGCTAATAATGGCTGGAAATACAAAAGCCGTTCCAGCTCTAGAGACTTAAGATGGGCTTTTGGAGAAAATATAGAATACACTGACAATATTGAAAGACTGTAATTTGTAATTTCTGACAGGATAAAAAGAATGGGAATTGATATACCTGGATCTTTGGAGGCCACAGCCCAGGATATGGCTGTGACTGGGTAGAACAGAAAATGACGGACACAGAATAGAATCCAGGCTTCTTCAACCAAAATGTCCCTATGGTTTGGGCCAAGTTGACCTTCAATTAAAAAAAAAAAAAAAGCCCTTCAATGAGGAACTAGGTCCAAACTGTAGTAGTAACTATAAAACTGTAGCAACTGTATAAAGTTTTTATTCTAAGATGTGGTATGGCCTGATAATATAAATAGGTTGCTGAGGGTCAGGGCTCCCACTATCATACCAACTATAACATCATCCTCGAGCCTCACCCAAGCCATGTAGCTGTTGTTCTATGCTGGTTGCTGCAGAGCAGAAGCTGCTTGAAGACCACATGCTGCATCTCATCACATTCCTCCTCCTGGGTAGGATCCTGTGCTGGGCAGACTGCCAGATTATGGGCTACAGCCCAGACATCTGCCAATTAAGTGCTAGGCTATAGCAGCACTTCAGGAAGGTCCCCTGAGAATCTAGATCCCAGGAAGTGGGCACCTGGACAGAGCTGGGGGGCTTCATAGCTAAGAGTATAGCTGCATCCCAAGCACAGTACCTTACCATTTGTAAAGCTCATTACATGATAGAGTATGACAGAGCTTTTGCAGTTGTTCCTGGAATAAATAATATGCACATAATACTTGGCTTAAAGTAGCTGTTGCCCCAAAAGAGATGTTCTTTGTATTTTGCATAGGACTTTTAAAAGCTTTTTTCCTCCAATAAGAAATTGGTTGCTTAGGTGTCTTCTGCTCTGCTGTTAGTTACCAAGAATAGATGAAAACACTCCATAATTAAGGTAAAGGAAGGATATCGAAGAGCACGTCACTAACTTCTACCATTTAGTATTGTAAATCTATGCCTCCTTTTCAGGTTCTTTTACCAATAGTTATTGGTGCCATTGTTACAGACTAAATCTCCAGCACTGGATTGGAACATCCATAATTTCTGATGTTCTTACCAAAGGCTAGCAGAAATCTGGATCAGTCCCAGAACTTTGGTAGGGGTTATTAGCTCCTGAAAGCTTTATAGGACCACTTGGACTATGGCTAAAAGCTTGACTACAAAGAACAATGTTTTGGTCATCAGTTCCCCCTTTCCCTGGTGAGGTGCTTCTGGTGTTGGTAAAGCATAGCCCTCAAGCTAGATTATTTCCTTCTAATGTTAAGACAGTTCCTCTTACAGGAGCTAAACTTGATTTGCCAGATTTATATCCTAGAAGGAGGCCTTTGATGGAATTATCTTTGAGGACTACAGGCAAGAAAATAATAGCCTACTTGTGGCAGAAAATAGTATATTTTGATAACATGACCTGGGAAGATGTGATTGCAGTTATCAATAGCAGGAAGTTACAAAAAAAAAGAATAGGAATAAATCCTGAATAAAATACTTCTCAGAAGCATACAGTTTAAGATGTATTTAGCTAGAATGTGTCATCTCTTATAAGAATGCCAGAACTCAACATTTTGTGGTAGTTTGTTCAGCTGTGTTCCATAATTTGGGGGAGATGTGTTGTCACATGCTTGTATTTAGTGTGTTTAAGCGTATTTGCTTTCCTCTGGTAAAATTTTATTGGTTTTCAGAGCATGGACCTTGTTTCGACACATCTTAGGCCAAAACTAGCATCTAGATTCTCTTCTAAGTAATACTGAAAGACCTCCAGCAGCCTTAGTTAAGATTTTAAGTCAGCCCTTGCTTATCTGGTCTTCACTGATGTCTCCATTCTCCGCCACATCTTACTATTGCTCTCCTTCGAGACTTTTCTCAGCCTCATCTTCCTTCAAAGACTTCCTGACCACTAGCTGTTACATCCTAGTTCTCTGGATTGTTATTGAGCATTTCCTCTGGTATGTGGCATGTTGTACCTGAGTCTGGTTTTACGCAAGGACTGCCATATTACATTTTCCTTTATTAAGATGAAAATGGTTAATAAATACATGTCCTCCTCCCTGCTGAGGTAAGCAAACTCTGAGTATTGAACTAAAAATGGCAGTAGAAGAAAATAGAGTATCATTACTGAATTCCTATGGTTCTCCTGGGTTGCTTCATTTTTGTTCTTTTCCTTTAAGGTATGTGGGCAAAGACTATTCTGCCGCTCAGGAATTAATGGAAGATGAGATGAAGGAGTATTACAGTAAGAACCCTAAAGTCATGCCCATCCAAACTGTGCACATTGGGCAGTTGCTGGCCGTAAATGCTGAGGAGGATGCTTGGCTTCGGGCACAGATTATCTCAACAGAAGAGAACAAAATAAAGGCAAGCACTGTTTGTTTATGATAATGTTGTAAAGACATATTATTTTTCAAACGTGAATGTTGCTTCTAATATTGTAGCCTTTCCAACTGTATATAGTTTTATCCAAACATTGAAAAGATAGTATCTTAAAAGATTATCCCTGTTAGCTTTCTAGTCAGTGATGTATTATCTCAAAGTTTTAGTAAAAAACAACAAAAACCCACATTTCCATAGTATCCATAACCTGTAATATAATCAGGAAAAGCTCTTTATACCCATTCCTGGAGATTATATAGTAAATGCTGATCAGAGCTCTATGAGCTTCTTATCAAATCAGTGCTTTGGAGTAAAGGAAGCAATCACATCAGAGAAGATAACATTCTTCCTCTTGCCTCTTGTGCAGCAAGCTGAGTAGAACCCTCGGTAGGACTTCGGCCCTGCTCCAACAGCTGTCCTAGTGTGTCCTCTTGGTCTTCTTGGGAAGGTCAGAGGGCTCTTTCACCAGTGTCTTCCATCAGCAGTCTCTAAGACTTCCACACTTGGCCATATTCCTCTATGACTTTTTCTTTCCCTCTATCCAGGGACCAAGACTAGAACTTTCTCACCTTCAAAGGCAGAGTTTTCTCTAAATTTTGCAAGCAGGGAAATACACTTCTATTTCTGAAGCCTTTTTTCCATAATATAAAACCTATTCCTTGTGCCATGGTCAGCCCCTGTCCGTAATCCCTTTTGTGTCACTGAATGCAAATAACCAGTCCCTGAACCCTGAAACCTCTGACCCCACGCAGAAGTTCAGAAGGTGTCAGCAGAAGTGCAGAAAGGTATGCTAGCTGTTTCTTACCCAGGTTGTTCAATAGAAGAAGCCTTGGCCCTCTCCAGATATAAGTTCACTCCAAACACCCTGCCAACCTTTGCCATTCACAGAAATTTGGGGAATTCCTTAACCAAATCTACAGAGATGTAACTTTTAAGCAATGTGACTGGACTTGAAAAACTTGAAAATTGGGAAACAGTTTGGCAGTTTCTTTTAAAGTTGAACACTTACTGTCAGACCTCTAATGTGTGTGTGTATATGTGTGTGTGTGTAAAAATGAAAACATAAGTCTGCAAAAAGACTTGCACACACATTTTAGCAGGTTTATTATGAATAGTCCCAAACTGGAAACAACCCAAATGTTCACTAACAGGTGAATGTGTAAATTATAGTTTATCCAGATAGTGGAATACTAGTCAACAATAAAAGGAACACACTACTAAAAATAGTCACATGGATAAAACTCTCTGGCTCTGCAATTGAAAAAGACCAAAAACAAAAGAATTACACTATAAGATTTCATATAAATGCTGTATAAAATTCATCTGTGGGAATAGAACTCAGACAGATCGAGATGGAGGGGGCTTAATTGCAGAACAGTAGGTTCCAGAACTTTTTAGAACAATGGACTTCGTCTATAGCTGGGGTGGTGATTATATGGATATGTACATTTATTAAAACCCATCAAGCTATACTTTAAATAGCCAACTTTATTCCCAGTAAGTAATACTTGGATAAGTGTGGAAAAAGCTAAGGAGCAGGTTTACAAGTAGACCAGTGAAGCACAGTATGATCAGCAGCCTGGGCACAAATCCCAACTTTGCCTGTCAGTGGTTCAGTGCCCTTGGCCACATTGCTGGGCATACAGAGGGAAGGCATGGATTCAGTGATTTGGAGTCTCAGATCTTGGTGCCTTTGGTGCCTAAGGTTTCTCTTTAGCTGTTATTTATCTGTTCTGGGGACATCACATGTGTGAACATACTCTTGTCTTCACTAGACCCTCCAGAAAGAAAACCACAGGGCATCAGCATTTAACACAGCGTGGGAATGGCCAATTAAGTAAAACCAGGAGAGTGAGGTCCTGGAAGCTAGAACAAGAAAGTGTACCATAAAGGAGGAGGCAAGAAGTAGTGCCATTGCTGCTGAGAGCTGTGGGCTGGTTTTAGGGATAAAAATGTAGCTCAGTATATGGCACAGTAATAAGGTCTTAAGACAGTTGTAGTAGTTCTGGCCTAATCTTGTTCCCTACAATCCCAATGAAACAGACACAGATTTTTATTTTTTTTTTAAATCCCAGTTATTTATAAAATCTCCTCTTGAACTGTACTATGCCTGACAGCAAATACCAGTTCCCTCCTTTCTTTCTTCTTGTCATACTCCTTGGTGAGAATGAGAAACAGTAGCACTCAGTCACCTTCTGAGGCTGGTGTGTTTGGCTAGACCCAGACCAGCATCCTGATTATTACTCATGTGGTGCTGTGCGGTGCCTTTCCACTTGATGGCACCAGAGTGCCAGGAATGGACTGTAACTCTGGGCCAGGACTATGAGCCTGCTTGTGCTGGTCACAGCACAGCACACAAGGCAGTAGGGGAGAAACTATTTGGCCCTCCCAAATCTAAGAGCCAGAGCAAGGGTGCATTTAGACACAAACTAGGCAATACATGGGCATGTGTTTTATAAACAGCATCTGCCAAATAAATATACAGTCTTGTGATTCTGAAAAGGAAAGAAGATCCACACATCACGGAAACACTTTGAAGATTTTGGAGCAGTTATTCTTCAGTCTGTTGATGTAAGAAAGACTGAGTTTCTCAGGACTTATGATTTCACGTATCTTCCTGTCGAATTCAAGTTGTAGGTGGAGATAGCTATTAAAAGAACAAAAGTTGCCTGAATCCTGAGGCCTAAAAGAAAGAACAGGTGTTAATCTGGGGTAGGAGAGATGCACCTGCACACTTACTGGGCTGGCTGCCTTGCCTGCCTGATGTGGGGTCTTGCAAGAGATTTAGGCCTAAGGGAGCCCTGAGTGAAGAGACAGACTCTGGGAGGCAATCATTCCAGCGTGGGATTGGAAAGGCCCCACACACTCAACAGCAACAAACTCGGGGTCAGGGAAAGGGTTAGTGGTTTTTCAGTTTCCTTGTCTTTCCTCTTCTTTTCTGGGGAGAATTTTTGTTTTGTGTGTTTAGTACCATAATGTAGGTAGTAAAAAGCTGGCCTGTGGACTTTATTTTCTTGCAGAAAGTAAAAGACCTGCCATTGTGTTGCTGCATATCCCTTAGCCTTGCCTTTGCTTATGTTTATGTTGTTTTATTTTTTTTTTTGTAATAACCATCACCTGCTTTAATTACAGAAGGTTTTCAGCACTTTCCCTCAGATTCTAAGTTACTATTCTAAAGTATAGCTTAGTCTTTTAAGATTTTTCTGAAAAAAAAAAAAAAAAAAGGATTTATTTATACAGTCCTTTTCAAGTAGAGGTTTTGTTAATACTCAAAAATAATAATATCAGAAATATACTTACTGATCTGTGCTAATGGTGAGGAAGATTTATGCAGCTTTCTGCAAACAGAACTCCAGCAGATTTGGTGACTTTTGCTGAGCTGGATGCATGCCTAACCTGGCTTTTTATTCCTGGGGTGAAAAACAACAGAAGTATTTATTTTTGCAGTGTAGAATTCTGTATTAGCGTGCTGTAATATCATTGATGTCATCACCGAAAGCAGCTCGGTGCCTAGAAGCCCAGTAGCTGAAAGCAGGCCTCACAGATGCCACTCTGGGGATTTAGAACCTAATAAATAACTCCAAAGTGATGCCCACTCTAAAAACAAATAATGCTGCCTCTGGATGCAAATCCTTAGTGGAAGTGTGTGACTCAAGCAAGATTCGGGTAATGCAGGCACTCTGGTATTAATGAAAGGGCAGGGACAGTCAGGGCTGACAGACCAGACAGGTGTGCTGCTGAGATGCTGGCAACAAAGCACCAGCGTGTAGCTGTCTTACCTGGTTCTTCCCATGGCAGAAGGGTACAGTAGAGGAGTGGGGCCTGCAAATCAGGGGCGCTGCTTTTCCTGGTCCCGGTGCCAGCCTTTCTTCTCTGGGCTAAGTCAGAGGCACTCCCCTGGCACTTTCCAGCAATGTGGTGCCACTTAACATGCTGACTATGGAATAAAATAGAGCCAGTTAAATGCATCAAGCCATTTTTTTTTTTTTAAGAAGTGGATGATGACGAGTTTTATTTGAACCTAAACATTGTTTTTGTTATCATTAGGTATGCTACGTTGACTATGGTTTTAGTGAAAATGTTGAAAAGAGCAAAGCATACAAATTGAACCCAAAGTTCTGTTCACTCTCATTCCAAGCTACAAAGTGTAAGCTAGCAGGTAAGAGGAACTTTTAAAAATATCTCTCTTCATTTTGGTGCATTATTGCCTTGTACTTTTGGATAGCTAAATCCTAGAATGGAATAAGTATCTGAAGGTGTTATAATGTTACTTCTTGAAATATATGAATAAATTTGTGTTTAATGTAGTCTTTATAAGATGTGATTATTGTAAAAATGCTATAGTTTTGATAATATCTTATTTTATATTCCATATATAACATGCATAATATTTTTATTCTATTGTAAAAATGTCTATGCGCCATCTTAAAGAAGAATAGTTCGACTTGACCTAGAAACAACTGCTAGAGGCTCTGTATTGTGGGATTTTATCAGTCTGAATCATGCTGTTCAATGTGTTGTGAGGTGACTGTCAACTTCTTTGCCACTGAGAATGGACCCTGTGGGTTCAGTTTATAAGTAATATGCCTTAGTACACCCAGGGACAAGTTCAGCTATAGTTGGTGTACAGTTTGTGGTTTGTGGTCAATGCTCTCTACTGTCCTTTCCTACTCATAGAGGGTACATGTGTATGAGAGCGATATTGTAGGGAGAACCTGAAAGTATGGCAGAACCAGCAGTCATGTCAATGATAAGGAGAAGCATCCTTAATGAAATATGCATCATACTTGAAAGCCTGAGCTAAATTCAGGAAATATCATGGTTGTCATGAAAAGTAGCCTTTCCCAGCAAGGGTGAGTTCTTAAGTCAGGAGAGCTGGATTCACCTCTACCTGTGAAATAAATCTCAATTAACTTTAAAAGTCTGTTACAAACATGTAGAAGTTAGTTTTGAAAAGGACATTTCCAGAGCATTAAGACAAGATTTAGGATGCTGAAATGAAAGGTTTGCTAAAATTTGTAAAGTTATTTGTCTGTAGAACAGAACAAGAACAAGGACAAGAGAAAAATAGCTCAGAGGGAGTCTGTGAGCTTTAGCTTTGGATTTCAGGGGGCTAGATGGAGAAGTAGTACTACTGGGAGGAATGATGAGCTGGTTTAATTAATTTAATAGATTAACTTAAAGCTGTCATATTTATGACACATAGAATTAGAATGTTCAAAGAATTTAAAGATTAGACTTCATTAAAATTCCTCTAATACCCATGTTATGTTAAACACTATTTAATCTGCCTTTGATAAATCAGAAAGTTCTATTATCTAAATTTTCAGTAAATATATGTTCATTTTAAAAGAAAAAATGTGTATAGTTAATTAGAAAATGAAAAAGTCAAGGGTATATTTTTAGGAAGAACATTACCAACATACAGTACTGGCAGAAACAGCATCCTTCTGTTTTAAATGTGTTTGTATATGAACAAAAAGTGAACACTATTTCTCCTAAGGTAGAAATTCTGATTGATCATCAGCTTTTCTTGTTATCTTAAAATTGTCTCCTTTAGTCTGAGCACCATCTTGTTCTGACCTCCAGCTAGTCTTTTACCTCAAGCTTGTCTCTGAGCTCCTTCTTGTCTCCTCATTCCATCTTGTATTTGACCATCATCATGTCTTTGACTTCCATGTTATTGTTGCGCAGCATCCTGTCTCAGAACTCCATCTTTTCTTTTACCTCCATTGTGACTTTGACCTCTATCTTGTCTTTGACCTTCATCATGACTGACCTCTCTGTCTCTGACCTCTATCATATCTCTGACCTCCAGCTTGTCTGAGACCTCAATCTTTTCTCTCACCACATAAAGAAAGAGAGGGGGGAAAAAGATCGTCTGCTTTAGGTAATCATTGTAAAGGGTATTCTCATTATAATTTATATTTTAAAATCAAAAGTGGGTAATATTAAAAAGAATTGTAAAATAAAGCTTCCCTATAAAATTTAAGAGTTTTGTAGAAGATACACAATTGTAATAAGTGGCTAAAATGCACATAATCAATATATCCATCTTAAAATGATTTTACTAATGAAGTAGAAATTGAAACATTCACTATTTTTTCAGGGTTGGAAGTTCTAAGTGATGATCCTGATTTAGTGAAGGTGGTTGAGTCTTTAACTTGTGGGAAGATCTTTGCAGTGGAAATACTCGAAAAAGCTGATATTCCACTTGTTGTTCTGTATGATACCTCAGGAGAAGATGATATAAATATCAATGCCACCTGCTTAAAGGCCATATGTGACAAGTCACTAAAGGTTCACCTTCAGGTACCACTGTGACCACTGTTCTCATCCATTACACCTTTCATAGGAAAGAAAGTTACCAGAAGAAAACGTTATAAATTCTGAGCAAATAATAAAGGCAGATTACATATGTATTGAGAGGAAAAGGTAGGGGGAGCTAATGGCAGGAAATACCAAAGTATAAATGGTAATTATTAAGAATTGGATTTTTGCTTTATTTTTCAGTCCCTACAATGAATTTATGTCATTTGCAAAGGTAAAAGGAGGGAATAAAATAAAATAAGGGTAAATTAGATCCATAAAGTTGTGGTTTTATAAGATTTATTTATTTATGCATACAAGAGCTGGGGCACAGGCCAGAGATGCGAGGGGGTGAGAGGATAACCAGAGACAGAGTGGGGAACAGAACAGGCAGACTGACTGAAATACACTGCTGAGGGGAGCAGCGGGCAAGGCAGGAGAGGTCTAGTTCGCCAATGTAGGTTGTTCCCTGGCCGGCCGGGGATTGAACTCATGCTGCAGAGGCTGCGGATTGCTTCATAGTGTGGTACTTAACCCCTTGCACCACCAGGGAGGCCCCTAGAGCCATAAAGTTTTTCAATCAATTATTACTAGCATTTTTAAAATGTTAAGAACATAAATGCCTGCGAAGAAGGAAACCTTTAAATAACTTACAGAACAGCCATTCTAAAGAACAAGATTAAATGCTAAAAGCGATCATTTTGGAAACTTTACAGTAACATTGGGGAAATGTTTATTTTAATCATAGAACAACAATTAATTGTCTTTATAACTCTTTTACTTAAAATTACTAAATTAAATCTTTACTACGATTACAATTTTTGAAAATTATTGAAGTTAATGTGGTCTGTAGGCATGGATTAGAAAGTTAGCTGATAATGGGGTTGATTTTGTAAGAGCTTTTTATTTTCATTTCTGTTAATATTGAAAAAAATGTTTTAAATTTTCTAAATTAATGTAGAGAAAATAAACCAAAGTTAAAGAAATCTTTATCCTTCCAAAAAGTGGAATGTGGTAATAAGTTATTGTATAAAAAATGTCTATCCGTGCCTGACAGAAAGGATATCAGACATTCCTTTTAGAAAGAGAGGGATTCAGATAAGTTTTTCACCTTTAAATAATGATTTCCTTTTATTCTATATATCCTCCAACTTGCTCAGAAGGTTGGAGAGTTTTCATGAGATATTTAGATAGTTACCACTTATGTAGGTAAGTACTACAATCTGTTCTCACATTCTTAATGTATCTTTTGTTTGTTCCAGGTTGATGCCATGTACACAAATGTCAGAGTGACTAATATTTGTTCTGATGGCACACTCTACTGCCAGGTGCCTGGTAAGGGTCTGAACAAGCTCAATGACCTTCTGCATAAGATAGAGGACTACTTACATTGTAAGGTATGGCAAAGCATTATCCACCTATAACATCAGTCCTGAAAAGGTCACTAAACTGTACAACTGTGAATAACCTTTGAATAGTTTGAGGTAGAATCTCTAGAATAGAGGTAAGAGCCGAACACTTCAGAACTTGGAAAAATCCAGATGGTTTCACTAATATATGGAATATAGAGAAACAAAACAAAGCGTCAGACAAAACCAAACCAGAAACAAACCCTTGAAATCTGACTGTAAAATTGAGGCTACAAGAGGGGCAGGGGAGGTAGAGAGCCAAATGGAAAGGGGAGGTGGTAGACTAGGTGGAGGACTGTGGTGTCTCGGTAGTGAGTGTGATGTGGTAACACACATCTAAAGAAGTTTGAACTTGGACTTCTGAATCATGTATAGTGGTATGTACCAACATTTCCTCAGTAAAATAATACAATTTTGAAAGGTTTGACCATGTGAAAATCAAACACCTATTTGTTTCTGCATTGTAAAATGAGGGTAATAATGTGCATATCCATAGGCTTGTCAAGACTAAACACAGTGCCTAACACATACTGTGTGCTCAACAACTGGTAGATTTTCTGTTTAGTGTGCCAGTCATGATTCTATAGTGCAGCCGCCTGTGACTCTTGTTTGCTGGAGTCAGTTAGGCTCCTCTGTCTTGGACAAAGATGAAACCATGAAATTCAGGAGGAAAATCAAATTCTTAATTCTGTACTTATTTTCTGAGGCATCAATCCAAACTAAGCTCCCATAAGTTTCTGAGAACCAACCACCTCAGGAAATATGGTTCTGTAGTTTAAGTATATTAATAAGCTCCGTGTCTTTTAATTTGAGTATTCTTTTCTGAATCGGGGTTTTGTAGGGGTTTTGTTTTACAATCCTAAGGTGATTTCCTTAAAACCATTATTAGGACATTATAGTTGTAATCCAGAATATGCTGTGGTTAAACCTTTGTGCCACTCCAACTGTGACCCCCTCTCACTAAGCACCTTGTGACCCTTGTATACAGCTTTATATTTTAACCCTTTGGATGTTTGTGTGCTTTACTTTCATTAAGGGCAGGAACCTTGCCTTATAATTTTCCATCCCTTACAGCACCTACACTAATGTCTTACATAAAATAAGTATTCCAAAATATTTGCTGGATTGGATTAAATCTGTATTCAGACTACAGCCTAGACTTGAGGCGATTGATCTATAGCTCTACTTCTTTCTGTGTTAATGACATCTTAGATGTATTTCAAGGTCATTATTTAAGTTTGACTTGCTAATCTATCTTGGAGAAACCTGGGACACCCAGAGATGCTGACTGTGGTGGCGCCTTTGTATGCATGTGTTTATAACATACGGTGGTGAAAGCACTCTTGATAGTCCCTGCTGCTCTGGCAACCTGAGCGGATGCATTGCCTTTGGAGAAAGCACAAACATTCATCTGAAAGTGACTATGATAGGTTCCTAGCTTCAAGCTATAGGAGAATGAAGAAACCCATAGCTTTCACTGGCACCAATACCCATATTTGTCTTCACATTTCTTTTGTTTTAGAATTAAAATCGTATCTTTGAATCTAAATGTCCGTAAAGAAGCTTTATGGACAGTTAGCTCAACCACTTCACTTTCATCCAGGCTGCTCTCCTTTTCGTCAGATTCATTATCCTCCTTGTGTTGGACTGATGGCTCCAGAATGTAGACGAATCATTGAAGCATACTGACCTCCACACTAACCTCATTAGACATTTCAGCAGTGTCAGTTTATGAGCCATGTGCCAGTAGCTGCATGAGAAACAAGGCAGAAGTTCTCTACTCCCACATGCAGTGCACATGTGCGCATGCACACACACACAACACACACACACACAGGTGCTGCACATGCTGCAGTGCCCTCCTCATGGAAGGTCTGTTTACATGTGGGTAAAACAGTGGGCCTGTATTATGATGTTTTTTTTTTTTCTGATGATAGAGCAGTGTGCTCTTTGCTATGAGTAAAAAGAATCTTGTGTTTCTTTGTTACAGCACATGACCTCCGAGTACTTCATTTCAGTGCCCTTCTGTGGGAAAATCTGCCTCTTCCAGTGCAAAGGAAAATGGTTACGAGTAGAGGTAAAAGGAGTTGCTTGACTTTTTTTTTTTTAACTTGTCATGATAGTTCATACAAACAGGTTTTTTTTGAAGTGGAACAAGTGCCCCTGTACTCATCACCAGTTTGAGAAACAAACCATGATGGTGTGGTTGGTTCTCCATGTCTGTCCCCTGTTCTGTTCCTCCCACCTCTCGGGGGCTGCTAACTGAACTGGGTGTTCCTGAGTGTTCCTCATTCCTCTTCATTTCTTTATATTTTTACCTAACACACTTCTATTTATCTTAATATAGCAATAATGTAAATATAGAAATAAATATATTTAACATTTTATCAAGATGTAGTGAGCAAAGCATAAGTAAATGTTTTAAAATTTTATGTAAATGGTAAAATATTGACTCTTGTAAAACATACATTTTCATTCATTTTATTTATTTATTTATTTATTTTTAAAGATTTATTTATTTATACAAGCACTGGGTACAGTCAGAAGCACAGGAGGGAGAGAGAATTCACCAGAGCCAGAGCAGGGAATAGAACAGACAGACTGACGAAATACACTGCTGAGGGGACCAGCGGGCGTGGAGGAGAGGTCTGCATGCCATGTGGAACCCTCGCCGGTGGCTGGGGATTGAACCGGCACTGCGGAGGCTGCAGGCAGCTTTGCAGCCCAGTGCTCAACTGCTGTGCCACCAGGGGAGGCCCCATTCATTATATTTATAAAATTAATCTGTGTTGATAGGTGCAACTTACTTGTTTTCAGTGCTGTATGGTATATCAGTATGAACTATGCCAATTTTATCACTGTTCTCCTATGGTGGATATTTACATTGTTTCTTTTTTTTTTTTTTTTTTTTTTTTTTGTATAAACAGCAGTACCATAAGCCTTCCTGTGAGCATCTCCTGGGGTACATATGAAAGAATTAAATTTCTAATATAGAGAATGTCCTCAGTTTTACAATATATTGTCTATTCTCCAAAGCCACCTTTCCAGAAATCCTTTGAGAGTTCTGGCTTCCCAGGGGACTTTCAGACCCTCCCTCCTGCCTAGGTCTCCCGCTGTGTCTCTGTACAAGATGGCTTAAGCTTCAGAGCTCACAAACTCCTGTATTTCCTAGTAATTGTCCTATCTTCTTGCAAGCTCAGTTATGAATTTGAGAGGTTTATTTATTTTATCTTGCAGGTTTTTTATTTTTGTGTCTACTGTTTCTTTTTTTCTCTTCCCTTTTGATATTTCATTTGTCCTATTGTTAAAATTATGAATCTGGGGGGAGGTTCCCTGTTTCTTAAACAGGTTCTTAACCTAGGTACAGAGACCCATCTATGTTTCAAGAGGCTTCCTGAACCCCCCTGGAATTATATACAAATTGTGTGTGCTAGTATGTGTTGGTGTGTGTATCTGTTATGCATATTGGGAAGCAAGTATCTGTAATTGTCATAAGATCATCATAGAGCTGTTTCATAAAAGTTATCTATTTTTCCCCCCACCCTCATAAGAGTTATCTTTGACTCCTTATTCTGACTCTCTGAAACATTGCCTTTACCTGTCTCCCATCTTTTGCCTTGCTTGCCTCTCACTTTATACTCCAACAGAATCAATATGCTTGTAGATCCCACATGTAAGAAATACACATGCACTATTGCCTATCCTATCCCCACTGTTTAAAATATCCAAATATTCAGCAGCAGTCTTTCTGCCCACCTGTGACTATGCAGGTGCTTCCTTTCACCAACTCTCTCCCTCCTCAGGGCAGCAGTTTCCTGCCTGCCGGTGACCCGCACTATGCCGGGACTTCTCTTCACTGACCCCCTCAGCTGAGGCTGCTCTCAAGGCTGCCCTCCTATAATTATGCAGGCCTCTTTTAGCAAACCTGTCCCTTTTGGGGCAGCTCTTTCTGCCCGTTTCTATGCAAGTATACTTTGCTTTTCTATCCCTCTCTAATAAACCTGCTCTTTAAAGAAAAAAAAAATCCAAATATTCAAACTAGATTGCTGCCAGCCCGGTTTACCCCCATCCATCTTTTTATGGTCTCTAAAAAAACCGTATTTGTGAAATTTATGAAATTGTGAAATTCATGAAATTCAAATTTGTAAGATATGAAATGTAAATATCCCATAAGTATTATTTCTTGAAGTATAAAAATTTATGTAATTAAATTATGTAGCCAAGTGACAAAATAAATTATATCTTTGATAGACTTAGTAAAAATAATATTGTAGGAGACCAATGACATGAAATGTTTTTAGGTGATATTAAGTGAAAGCAATTATGATGGAGTATATATAAATGTTACATTTTTATAAATTAAATTAATTTTTTTACAAATGTTGGCTGAAAGACTTTGAAGGATAATAATCATCTGTGGCAGATTACAGGTGATATTTATATCCACTTAAGTATCTGAATTTTTTTGATGGAGTGAAGACATTTTACTAAAATTAGAAGAAAAAAGTAAATTCTAAAGAAAGCACACATTCTCAGCATTTCTCCTCCAGATGGGCCCATATTTGGCTAATGTTTAATGATGACAGATATCACAGTGGTTTATTAAGGAAATAAGGGCAACTAAATGGACATCTAGAATCTTATACTGTGATGTTGCCTTTACAGAAGGTAATCATTTTATCACGGATAGGTAATTATTGATTTAATTCAATGTGTAGTTTTCCCATTTTTGAGTTATTTAAACTTATTTTACCTCTCTAGAGCTCTATTGAGTTTTGATTTTTCAGTTGGGTTAAATGATGTAAATTATCATTGGGTTTTTTGAGAAGCCATAAAACACCAATGTACTTATTATTTAAAGATTAAGTATATTACTTGCTACAAGAAAATAGAAACATCTGTCATTGCAATTTGCATTTCCTTATGCTAACACAATTGGTTTTTTCCTCACAGTTGATTATTTTTAAAAATATACTGCATCTTATAAAAGCAATATGTAATAATGTATCAAATTATCTTCTAATCAATAGTGTCCTATAATTGAAAACATGGTAAACTTTGCTATATCTATGAATTTTACTGGTTTAGTTTTATTAGTTTAGTGATTATTGCTAATTAAACAAATTGACAACTCAGTGTTGAAATAAATTCTTCTCTAAAAGAATCTCTATTTTGTAAATACTACTTTTTAAAATGAGAGAAAATGTAATTAATAGTGATAGTCTTTGTTACTTTTTTATATGCCATTGAGAGTTAGACCAAATGTAATTTCTCCGAAGTGTTTTGGTCATTTCAATATACTAAAAATTTGCCAACAACATCTGTCTCATTGCAGATCACAAACATTCACAGCAGCCGGACTCTTGATGTTCAATTCCTGGACTCTGGTGCTGTGTCATCTGTAAAAGTGTCTGAGCTCAGGGAAATTCCCCCTCGATTTCTACAGAAATGATTGTGATTCCACCTCAGGTACTATATGTTACAAGCCTGGAGATTTGGATTTATTTGTAGTCATGTTGTGAGATGCCCGTTCAGTTTTCATCTTGTTAATGATTGAGGGGCCTCCCTGGTGGCCTAGGGGTTAAGTCTCAGCACTATCACCACACCAGGTTATGAAACCCACAGGGTGCAGCAGACTCTCTCTCTCTCTCTCTCTCTCTCTCTCTCTCTCTCTTCTCTCTCTCTCTCTCTCTCTCTCTCTCTCTCCTCGCTGCTCCCCTCAGCAGTGTATTTCAGTCAGTCCTCCTGTTCTGCTCCCCACTCTGCCTCCAGTGAATAATCTCACCTTCTGCACCATTGGCCTATACCCCAGTTCTTCTATGCAAAAATTTAAAACAATAAAAAGATAATGATTGGTTCAAATGTGGTGTTACTAGTTTTCAGAAGTAAAATTTGGCCACCTTAGACAGGAAGACCAACATACAAATGTACTAAATATTGTTAATAAATGTCTATTTATTTAAACGTCTATTTTACAGGCATGGAGTCACTAAATTATATTGTCCAGTTAGAGGTTCTACTTTAATCATTAGATGCCATTTTCAAAACACTGTGTGTAAATATTTTCTTTCAGGATTCTTAGTTTAATTACATAGGTATTCTCTCAAGAAAATCTATTCGTGCTTAATCATTTTTTGTTTTCTCCATAGTTAT